CAAAAATCTTTGGATCTTTGTGTTACATTATCCAGGGTAATATAACACCGTTTTAAAAACTTCGCATTTGTGGTTATAGAAAACATCTTATTGAATACACTTTATAATAGTAGCACAATGACGTCAAATGTCACAATGATGTGCGAGACATTTATTTTATGTTCAATTACAGACAGTTGTTGTGATTAATCTTTTCGAATCGATACAATAGCAATAATTTCTTTCCTTTGATGCGCTACATGAGGCGCATTAGCTTCCGTGTACTATATATTTAGTGTATTCACCGCGCCTAATAATTTAATATTGACATCAGTGTTAATCGATTCATTGAAAACTTCGCTCTATAATTGTTCTGTTAGTCGTGAAGGGAACGTAAGTTTCGTTCGAAAACAGCATAGAAATATAAGACAATTACAGAAAACTTAACATTCGCACCTTTTTCTTTTTACAATGAAAAGGTTTGACATTTTGAGGTTATGTATTATTGATTTAATTTAACTCGCTACCACTACACAGTCACGAGTATTCATGACTATTTTTACAATCATTGATTATTTTCAGACTAGTTTTCGTTAACCGTCCTTCCAAGAAAAAACACATATATTGATTGGTGAATTCATTTGTCTTTACAGAAAAGAACCCAAAACCATTGAGCTTTTTAAATATCGATATATACAATCATCAACTTTAAAGAGCAACTATCACGACAATGCTTTCAACATACCTCCAATTGCCAGCTGTTTGCATATATATCCATTTGTAGCATGACAGTCTCTGTCATTCCAGTAAAGTCGACTGGTCACGCCATATCCCTTCGACGGGAAGTGGAATATCTGCCTGAGCTCGATGCAGTCTTCACCACTGAGACCGTCGTCTGTGGGCTGCCGACCGAAAAATTCAAACGCGCTCCAGCCAGGAAACCAATCTTGGATAAATAAAATAATATTGGGAATATATTTAATGGAAAATATAAGCAGTATTTGATGAGTCAATTATGCATCGTAGTTTTTAAAACACTCAATATTACATTAATGTTATAGAGTATCTGTTCCATTATTGTGTTTCAGATTATCTCTACCATATATTTCGCTTATATAACAGTCAATGCAGTGTAGTTGCTAATTTACCCCCAAATAGCGATAAAACGTACATACAACAATATCTTATATACGACGGGAAGAACACACTTTGGCACGAGTGATTTACTACCCGAGTATTGCTATACTAATATAGACAGTAACCTATTATTAATAACTTAATTCACGCACATTAACAATCAATAGGCGAACATGTCATGTCACGTATGTTAATTCATTTTTTTATTATCATCATCATCATCATCATCATCATTTTTCATACTATATTGATATTACAAAACTAACAATTATAGAATAATTGCTGTAATTCATTAGCCTAAATGTCATATAAAAATAGTATATTTACAGGCAAATTACTTATGAACATGCAACACACGGCTACAGGCGCCTAGGCATTGTCAGCAGTCGCGCAAAGCACTACTCCATGCTGACCGCCCAACTTACGTCTGCCTTTACCTATGCAATGTCTATTAATAAAGATCCGTATATACTCAAGGCAGTTTATGCCGAATACAAATGTCGCACTCTTAGACATGATATTTCCCATATGCTATATATAATGAAAAATTATTATTGTACTTAGTACAGACTAAATTATATGCATTTTTTTAATGTTGAAAAATTTTAGGATTCGTATTATCACGCCATTTGCAAACCATATCGCCGAGTACAATTTTGCGATATGAAGAAAAACCCCTTTGACATTTTCCATCACATTTCTGACTCTTATATTGTTATTTTGATATCATCATGATAGCATGCATCGATCATGCTAATTGTATGACGTACATGACATATATTTTCTTTTTTATATTTGATCGTATCTCCTAAATCTATAATAATTCTTGCGACAGAATTTATTGGAGACTGTACAGGTCGCAGCGAGCTTCCTGTGAACAGAAATCAAAACGGGAATCTCTGACAAATGAGTGATAATTTATAATGAGCAATGTATTCTTCATCATTTCGACCTGACATTCTGTCTGTATGTTTTAAGATGTTCTTGGCATTTTGATATTTATTTCAAACGATGGATTGCCTCAATACTCATACGCAACACCGTGTTTTACGATACCGAAAGACAGAATGGATGTAAAGAGATTACATCTTTTTATAAATAAATGGTGACTGTGCAAGTAATAGTAATACATACTTCGGTATTTTGCAAAATTGATTCTAGCTTTTTCTTATTATAAACCGGATGGGAAACTGTCACAGCGCATCACAAATAATGAACACGCTCATATTTCACTATTAAATTTTTACTATTGTTCAAACTGTACATATAAAAGCAATATAATAAAACCATATCATAATTGCGCATAGACAGGTTGCGGATATAGAATGCTCTGTGTGGCCTTAGTTTCACGCTAAATATGTTAAATATAATTTTGTGACAGCGCCTTATTGCTACATGATGTCAGATGTCACGATGCGGTCATTAGGTATCTTAGCACCGTGTTTAACATGGTATTTCCACACCTATACCAACACATTTCGGCTGCATATTCATAAATTGTTACCTTTCACATTCTAAGACGACACGATACACTTGCATTTCAGTTAAAAGATTAAACAATGCGTGACCCCGAAATACTATCCACACAAACAAATGGAATCCTGCGTGACGATGTCGAGATACCGAAGTCACGCTTGATATGAATAAGTAATGGCGTTCTTATCTATATTCTGTTTTAAAGTGTTGTGAACGCAGGCACTCCAGTATAGGTTTTCTTCATCAATAATTAATTTATCTGTTGATAGATCGATCAACGTGACTTGGTGTTATAAATATATCAATAACCGCTGTCTAAAATGTGTTTGGGGTCACAATCATGGAAATGGAGTTAACATTACGATACTCTGAGAACGTGAACATGTAGACTGTTTTTACGAGCTGCATTTGAAGCAACAAAACAGAAACAATTACTGTAGTCTGTCTGTCGCATATTATGTGAACAACGGGGATATTTCACTTTTAGCAAAAGACGGAGGAAATTGTACCATGGTATAGTAGCTAATATACATCACAGACAATCGTATTGACATTTGATTTGCACTGTCCCACTCTGTAGTGTAAAATTAATTAAAGCGGGAGGGTTGTCACCTGCACACGCGCTGGAATTGAGTCCCAAGCGACGATAACAACACACGCTAAAAACACAAAGGCTCATGGGTAGACGCTTGTTTGTAAACAATGACATGCTATGGCCATCTGACGCATGCGCATGTGACGACTACCCCGCTTTAATTAATTACTAGTAATTAATTAATTAATTAATTAATTAATTAATTAATTAATTAATTAATTAATTAATTAATTAATTAATAGATTATTTGTGTGATAATAGTATTCCCTCAAATCATCGTCAGATCGGAAGAGGGATTCCAGTATAAAATTCTCGTGGTTTAGAATATATTCAGATGGGATTTTTTCTACCATGTTTGTCAAAAGTTTCGTCCAATATCTGTATTTAACACATACCAGTAAAGTCGAAGTTGCTATGGTCCTGCCACACGTAGTCAGCTTCGTGTATTATATCATGTCCGCCTATCCAAAATGCTGCGTCTTCAGACTCCATGCTAAAGGCAAAACACATAAACATAGTGGGACAACTTGTGACTGGTTTGCAATACTCGGGCAGACAAATCTCCATGTTAACCAGCAGAGGACTTAACGTGTATAAATATAATGGCGGTTTGCGATACAAAATTCAGGGCGCCAAAATGTCTAAGGTTTTTCAATATGATAACTGAAGAATAATAAACCTAATGCAGCGGGCGCCACAAAGCAGCGATTGTAAAAATTTCCCCATCTCTCTACAAATTTCCCCTGGAATAACATCCCTTGGAATATCCTTAGCGGTGTTTGTTTTGACTTTAGCGCCTTTGTTTAATCCAGCGTCTCTGGATACAACCATTGTCACCAGGATTGCGGGTGGTAACAGTTATACACAGTATATGTATTTTTACCCACGTGTTGTGTTGAGGATGAAAATTCAAATCATGATTGTAAATATGGCTGACTATCCTCTATATTCAAACTATTGACTAGCGCTGTTATGAATCACGTTCAAGATGCTGCCCACGGACCGTTGATTTTTGAGGGCGATGTTTCTCTGGTGAAAACCATTTTCAAAGAAATTGCGTGAAATACTATTAAAATGGTGAATATTTGCATCATGGGAGATTTTTACAATTTAGCAATATGAATTTATTATCTAATTACAAGCGTAGAATTTGATCCCAAATTCGAACACCCCACAGACAATATAGAGGTACTTTCGATAATTGTCAACGATTGAATGCACAACATACACTACTAGGAATCTTCTAAGAGAGATTACAATGCTCCAGATAAAATTGATAAGGAGAGGCAGTTTTTATGATTAGATTATTTTAACGCCACTGTATATCGAAGTAATTGTAAGTGTTATTGTTCTGTGATTTAACTAAGAAAACACGTTCTCTTTATTTTTAGAAATTTAAATTGATTGCAGTTTAATCCAACCAGCCAATCAATGATCGCCATGCGTAATTAGGTCATTTGAAAATGTTATTCCAACCGCCAATAGAAATTGTGAAATATTTTGTAAAAACTAAGGGAATATTTGTTCTGTCAATAGTATGATATGATCAATTTTAATGATTTCCATCCAAACAGAGCATGTGTCGTTATTGGCAAGGCTATGACAATTTCACTATGTTTTTCCAATGCGCAATAATCTGAACGATTGCTGATTACTATATCACCAATTTTACCAATCAGCTAATTACCTTTAACACTTTGAAAGTCAAAGTTATCGTTCGTCGCCATTAATTATTCAAATAAAATGTTGATCAACAACTTGCTATCGCGAAACAAAAAATGCATTAACCATCAAACTGTTGACGAGAAACACTATGGATTCCAAAAAGCTGGCTAATCGCAGTTGATCGAACACAGTCCAAAAAAAGCGTTATTATGCTTTGCTTTCAACATATCGGCTTATATTTTCATTGGCGTGAATAATAATATTGTAGCAGATATTAAATTATTGCGTTCTCCAGGTCACGGGGTGTTACATAACATGCCGTTAATCGAGAAGGAAACGCTTCAATTTCCCAATCATGCACAAAAAACAAACATACTTAAAAAATATAGCACCAATTGTATTGACACATATCGGTGTATATGAGTTTTTCTGTGCACGAAGAGGAAATTTATGACGATTTTGTAGTCGGCTTGATATCTGGTACCAGGGTCCCGAAATACATGTTGTTTTGCTTGTCTTTTTGTCTCCATTCAGTGTAATCAATCATTTTTTTTATAAAACATCCACCTGCTTATTTGCGTTACCATGGCAACGAAGTACATATGTTAATTGTATGTATGGTTCAATATATTTACAACTTTTCAAATTGCAATTGTTAACGGGAAAGTTTATTTTTCGTGGCCACAACAATATACTGTTTACAATATACGACATTACACGTTGTTGGGCTACCCACAATAACCCCTCAAAAAGCTTCTTTATTTGTTGGTACACAGTGTTTTACACACAATTTTCAATTCTAGCAAATATAGACAACGACTAGTAGCCTCCCCATTGATGGACCTCCAATGTTAAGTTGACATGCATAATTTTATAAATAACAGAGTGTGCAGAAACTTAATTACCTGTAACATGTTATATACTGCAAAGTGGACCACATTTATGTGAACTACAAAGGTAACACCTTTACCTGTTCTGTACAGCGGAATTTATAAAAAACTGCTCTTCCATACTGTGTATGCTGGCTAAGTGAGTCCCTTCCGCCAAACAAGCTCCGGACGCCTCCTGCCATGTCTTTTTGGTGTGCACAATTTCGTAACAGTTATCGCGAAAGTTCAGCCAATCGAGTGGACAAGGCGACAACGCTGCATCTACTATATCTACAGCATCAAACACGGCATAAAAACCGGACATTGTTACTAAACCATCAGTAATGAAATGTAAGATTATAGTATTATTGGTTGATTGGAAAACTAACTGGTTTTGTTTCCCTTCCAAGTTGCCACAGAGTACTGAAGTAGAATTCCCAGTTGATATTTCGACATAATCTCGACAAGACGAAACGTCGTCAATGTCAGTACCTTCTGTTTGAAAATTAACGAACCGCAACAAGACTGAAAATCCCTCCGGTACTTGTATTGTAATAAAACAGTCTTGAGAATTCGGGTAATTTTCAGGATAGTTAGGACTCGACAAGGTCCCATTCCTTCCCGTTATAGTTTGATTCACACAAGACAGTTTCGTATAATACTCTGCTACAAATCCCGAATTTTCAATGAGGTAGTCGGAAGTGAACTCAAGTTCAATAATATTGCGTACGGAATCCGCCACTAACTCCTTTCTTGAATATTTGTATATGCTTCCACAGAAAAACGAGCGGTGATTCCGTTCAGGTCCGTCAGCGAACACCTGGACCACGTCAGTGTTACACTCCCCGTTAATAGTTTCATTTTGGATATCAAGCTCGGTAATCTCGAGCCTTATCCGTTTCGACCAATCGACATGTATGATAATATGGCATTGTAGATTTGGAAAGTAAAATGCCGGGTAGTTCCAACTTGTAACGACACCCGAGTCCGCTGTCATTGTCAGGTTGCACCCTGTAACATGTAAAGTGAAATGCATTGATACCGTTATGCTATTGGTAAGTCTAACCCTCGGCTATACGTAATACGTAAGTAAAGAACAATAGCTTTTATGAACATGCCTGGCAATGCGACAGAAACCATGGAGAAGTATTTGTCAAGTTGCATATACTTATTTATCACATCCCACTGTTGTTATGCATGCTATAATTGGTCGAGACTCGGTCACATGACATTAAATAAAAATGGATATTACATGGTATAATGCCCGCCAAGTGGATATTACATGGATGACATCACTGAAACTACTGCGCAACGATACTGCGCATAACAAATTGTCGTTCGCTGCAGTGGTGCTGCCCCGGCCGATTTTGCTTTTGGGCTTGCTTTAAAGGATTTTGAGGAATTTTAGCCATCCAAAATATACTAACGTGTCAAAATCGATATTAAGTAAGACACTCCGTTTTGATGTTAAGGGTATTCCTTGTACGGCCGCCACTGAAACGTCGCATCCGGGATCGCTGCCGGGGATCCCTGTGGCGTGTTCTACGCTGTGAGCATTTCTGCGCATGCCACGCCGATGCTCACCGAAAACGCTCTAAGCTGTGTACAATATGAAGATGTGGTACATTCGTGAGAAAGTAATTTCAGTCACTTCCACGGCACGACATTTTTATCTGGCGAGTGGTCAAATAACTTGCGTTTGAGAATTTCTCAATTCATTTCAAAAATGTTATACACGATAAATTTTAGTGATTCACTAAAAATCCGTAGCTGCAACTATCATTACTGTGTGTATTTTGCGCTTCGTTCATAGAAATTTAAAAAAGAAAGAAAAATGTTATCTCCGGGTACCTTAAAGATAAGCATGACAATATCCTTTTTTCAGAACGACACTAAACATGGTCCCATCTGTAGTGGCTGACTCGGAAGTTTTGTGGAGCCTCTAAAGACGCAAATGAGCGTAGGGCGTTATTTGGCGTACATAAAACAACATGAATAAACCTCACAACGCCAAAATACGGATGCGAATTTTTGTCACCGCTATATAGTATTAATCGATGTATTCTAGTTGCAAGTCCCATTTCATTCAGCCATGGTTGCCAGTACTACGTTTTAGATGTTGTATCACTTTGAACATGTTTTTTTAGTATGTTAAAACGAGAGACTCGTCACCTGCGCACGCGCGGGAATTGAGTCCCACGCGACGACAAAAATGCAAAGGCTCATGGGTAGACGTTTGTTTGTAAGCAATGACACGCTATGGCCATCTGACGCATGTGCAGGTGACGACTCCTCCGATTCAAAGTTATTTTGTGTCTAAGAATTACCTTTAATTATCGTATTGTGTATAGGTCGTGAAACTGGTAACATGACATGGCATACTCGCTCCTTGGGTAATTATTTCTTAATTAGATGTTCTCGTCCATATTGCAATTTTAACACATCAGTACCAGTAGTTCAATCACAATGTTCATTGCCAAGGGTATAATACGAGCTTAGTCAGTAAATTGACAAGCTATGAAAGGCTTCCTTCTAATTATCGACGCGTTTCATAATGTATTAATCACGATTGATAAATAATGCATAAATACATAACGTTTTTGTGGCGAGGAAACTCACCATTTGTGCTGTCCAGACTGTAATACTTTGCGGTATAACCTCTCCCACCGAATTTGACATCAGCTGTTAGTTTAACAACCATGATGTTGCTAGATGATTTGAACCTTAGTTGTCTCAGTTCTTCGCCGATGTATTCGCCGCAGATTATTTCTTGCGGCTCCGTGTTCGTGCCTCGAGTATATACGCTAACACTGTCGTAACTGCATTGCCGTTCATATTCGATTTCGACGCTGGTAAACTATGAGTAAACAAAAACAAAGTTATATATTGCAGTGCCTGAACATTATTCGACTTTTTTTTTTTCAAAAGCGTAAAAAAAAGGATGTTGCAAACAATCAACTGGTATTTTATGCGACGATTGATTTGATACTAAACTGTTCAGAAAAGGGTACATAGTACCGGATATCCTTGAAATACCAGAAATATTCCCATTAAGGTAAGGAGCCTACTCATGAATAAAAAAAAATACACAGAATTTATTCATTTTGCAATAAATAGTACAATATAAGGTAATTAACTGTTTGGTTCAGCAGCCTCGAGAAAATGATGGTTGTAGTTTTAGTGGATAGTTGCCATTTTGTCAGTATAAAACGCTTTTGTTATAGGTTTATATGGCAGAGATAGTCAACTTTCCTTCGACATTATATTCTATGAAATCATTTTATGAATAGCGATTTTTGAAAAATATTAGTTCAATTCTTTCTTCAAAATACGTCACTATACACACAAATAGATGTTATTTCATTGTGCTATGAGACAATAGTTTCATGATTGTACATATAATCACCGATTTAATGAACTAATGAACATTATCATGCGATTTATTACAAACTTTCTAAAAAATTGTGAGCAGGTCCATCGAGAAATATATTGTAAAGCTCGCAATACATCGAGATATTTACATATTTTGAGTTCAATCTCCAGTACCTGTCAGGTTATTGGAATTTGTTTTACAAATGGGAATTACCGACAATTATAAACACTGGACCGTCACGAGATAACAGATAACGATGTGTATTCCATATATCATGGCAGTTCGGTGTAATAACTTCCTAAATCTCCATACTGAATAATAAAAATCCCTGCAATCTGATTGGTCAATGCAACCAGATTGAACTTTTGACATCATGGCGTATCACAAAATAGGCCAATATACACAGTATTTTTGTTATTGATAATTATAATAATTCGAATTTTTTCAGATTTTTTCTCAAATGCGTGTTTGATAAAAACGCATATACAGTATTCGAAACCTCATTCACAAATTCTCCTAACCCCAATTTTTCCTAACATACATTTGTTTCAACTATGTCTATTGGAGATTTGTCTTGAATTGTGAAACGGTCACCGTTTTAATCGACTTTAAAATTAGTATCTATGATACTAAATCATTTTGCAGCCCGTAAATATAACGATGATTTCAAAAATCACTATTTTGCTTTATCGCAATAGGGTAAACTACTGAACGACAATCGGCGTTCATACACGACGATCGGTTATGCAAATGAGCAAGAACGCTCTATGATGCCTTGATTACGCGCTCACAAACTACGATTTCTGTCAGGTTTTAGACATTAGAAGCTGCGAAATGGATAAATGGGATGATCTCCAAAGGCTCGAAAGAAATGAAAATTACCAAACTCGTTTAATAGATCTCATATTATAGGATCACTCATGAGTTATCCTCTATTTAAAACTTTATGCTCAAAGCGGGAAAGTGCGCACTACTACTGAGTGTATCCGCCATGTTTGTTTGAACGGAACAGGTTCAATATAATAAAACATACTTGTGAATTGCATTTTCCTTTGAAGATTTCTCTGAACACAGTAGTAGACGGCGCGAATAACGCCACATAAGGCCCCGGGAATGCTGCCAGCGTGGGATTATCGAGTAGACTATAACTATAAGGACTTGACAAAAAATGACTCCACAGGCTACAACTAAATGACTCCAGCACACGAAACATGAATAGGTTTTGATTACTAAATTATCTGAGATTAGAATAGCTTCAAAATGCCATCAATTCATTGAAAAAAACTAAGCTTACCTGTAGATAAATGCTAGCAAACAACGGCGCGTGAATGAAAGCGACGCAGACGACACCGTCTGGGTACTGATAAGGATAATTGGGTGACGTAATTTGTCCGCCTTTTACTGTATCAGTTCTGTATTCAATGCAACCTGTTGGGGGTTTTAATCATACCGAATATTAAGTACAAAAAAACTGTCGAGTCCCCAGCGGGGTGTATCCAATAACAAATTACACAAATTTGTCGTTCTGAATCTAAGTATCGAGGCTGACAGAAAATCGAACATTTTAAAAATTTTCTGATACTTTTTTTTTAAAACTTCTATAAAGTGTTTCTAAAATCATTTTACGCAGTGTTGCGTTGCTTTCGACAAGTAATATTACTAACTATGCGACACGAATAAGTCTTATAGTTGAATCGATCAAATTGCCACGGGAAGATGCTGCTATACACGGTGTATGTCAAAGGCAATTTGGCGTGCATACAGCTACAACTTTTCAACAACAAAACAGAGCGGAACGGGTCACTCCGTGTCAAGAGAATACCCCATATCCAATTATTAAGTCTATAACAGAGAACAAACGTTAGCTGCTTACAATAACGCCTTCATAATGTATTATATTTCCCAATTTACCAGTATAATGCGTAGTAAATTATTTTGAATATCAATTTTCGCTTCTGATATGAAATCAACCCGTCAAAAAAAAAGGGATTACTATAAAAGGGGTGATTTAAATATCTGCTGGGGTTTCAGCTGAAATTGACTAGGGTCGATGAAAAGAAGTAATCAGCAACTTGTGCACTTTCTCAATTATTCATCATAAAATGCCAAGACATGATTGATCGGTATTTCATTACTCACCCGCTATCTCATTTCCCGGGAATTCGCAAAAAGACGTGGAAGTTTCGAACCATTCTCCATGACTGCTTTGTACAAGAGCACTGCGGAAATACAAAATTGATTGCAAAACAGTAAATACAAGAAATACGAATTATTATCACACCGGAAGTTGTTAATCGAAATATACACATAAATAAATTATTCCACCCTTTTCATCCAATGAAGTACCAGTATGGGTTATCTCAGTAATTCTGGTATAGTTGTGTAATACGTTCGGCACAATAATATGTGTCACTGGTACGTACGTACGTAGCGTGTAAGTATTCGATCTAATGTTCGCGGCAACACAACATGTTTAGTTTAGCATGAATCAAATCGAACATACGTATTAACACTAAACAAAAATCGGGGAGTCTGTAGTGTATGTTGAGTAAAGCTGGCGATGAAGCGAAAATGCGGGATATATTTTGACGTGATAATATGGCTTCAGAAAAACTACGCCTCGCGCACGCATGCATGTGATAAATCACTTTCTTTTGTTTCGGTAAGTAATATACTACCTCCATGCGATGAACAGTTTCCACATACCCCTTACCGGAGTGATTGTGGAATATGCAACTTTCATTTCAACTCACGCAGTCATGAAGCGCGCGGTCACATTTCGTGTAAACTTTGTATCCGTCGCATGAGTCCCCTATCGAACACGGCACAGGGCGACGACTGTGGCGGTTTTATATGTGCTGTGTTCATGTCGAGGTACCTTACTCATACAGTTAATCCGATTACAAAACTTTGTGTGGGTAAGTTTTTTGAGAGCAGTGTAATGCCTTACGATCGGGGCAACTAAATATCGGAGACAGGTATTTCTAAAATATTCCAATGGCTTCTCATTCTTATGCATCGTGTGTAGAGTAACATGATAGTTTGACATGTAAATGATTCAAGTATATTTGCCGACACGTGTGATATTTTGTTCGAATACCTAAATTTACGTATGGCGACATTGTCTGGGATACGGCGGCAATTGAAATCTAAAATTTATCTACCAAGACAATGTAGTGATTATAAAACGATTAGCGATGCATTATGATGAGTAAAATGTCGGACTGTAGTTGAAAAAAAAGTCACATAAAATCCATCAATTTTCTATAAACGCGCGATGCGTGACGTGTGTTCATATCCATCACATACCTGAACTCGACACAACCAATACCACGTGATTCTATCTGCCAGTAGAGAGAAACTTCGCTTCTATTGGGCGCTTGGGTGTGTGATACTACGTTCATCGTGCCGCAGTTTTCAATTGCCGCCACGTTGCCAGGTAACGGAGTAGTGAAGTTGCCGCCAAATTGCCCATTTCTCGCTAATACCGACGTGATGTAAAAACGCTGAAAGGCACCCACGCCAGCAGCGCTGTGTAAATGAACTACAAGAAAAAAAAAAGGATGAAATTGGTTAAATCTTCACGGAAGAAGGCAACAAAGTTCAGTTCACATCCCTAAAGCGTAACACATTTGACGCATCTCAATACCTGTTATTAAAATACCAAAGAACTTAATTTAATATCGGGGGCTGGTACATCTAATAACCTTTGATCAGAAGAGAAGTGCTGTACGATTCAGGCCGATCGTTTTCCACTCAAATAAAATCATACGTCTAGGCGTATACCAAATTAAGCTTAACAGAATGCGTCGAGGCGTGCGATAAATTCTTTTGCAGAGTGTCGCGATTATTTGATAAGCTGTCTGAATGTACAGAGAAGAGAATTATAAACGCAAATAACGACATCACGATTCCCCACTAGACATACCATGCCACATTTCCGATACAGCAATTTTGTATTCGGTATGTTTCGATTGACATTCCCTCTATAAACCTAATTGATGACATTTTGATAAGGAGATTGAAATCGATGAATATCAGCCTGAGTATATTCAATCCCATTCAACGTAAATTCCCTTACTTTAACATCTCCTCTGTTTGGGTTTCACTTGTGTGATTTCGAACTTACAGTTCCCATTGACTGTTATTTCGATAGAATACAAGGATGCATCCTCTGAGGATCGACACGTGCGAGGAATCCATAAACAAGACCAAAAAAAATCAATACCGATTAATTTTCGCTGTCAGGGCATGTCGAAATCTAAATCGATGAGAACATAGCGTTTTTCTACACTTTCACTATAAAAAATATCATTTTCACCTTTTGCAGTTGAGGTTGATGCTCTCGAATTGAGCTACTTCTCCCTCAACAGCTGGTGTACTTATTCACGTACACACAACTTATTTGTTTACTGTGCACACTGTGTCTTGATGTTTAGTTGTACCAAGAGGTATGTTGTCTAATATACCTATACAACTAATGAATGATACAGACTAAAGAAATGTTCAACCCTGAGGAAAATTGTAATGTTTATGGAAACATTGCTATTCCATTTCCACGTGAAAACAGAAGTATAATATCGTATGTGATTCCATTCTTGTAGATTGCTTGTCAGATAATAGAATAAACCGCATCGATTCCAATAGTCACATTTTGCATTAAGATGTATGGGCGCTATTCCCGCAAGTCACGAAGCTTCGCAATACTTCCTAAGATCATTCAGACAGAGTAGACCGCATGAATCCTTTATATGTCATACATAAAGCATGTCCAAAAAGCTGACAATTGCATGAATAAAGCATCACCTGACAAACACTCAAAAAATGAAGAAAAATAGTAATTTCAATCAAAAACCCCTTTTAAGCTGAAGGTAATAGTTCCTTTCTATAATAGTTCTTGCCTGATTAAATGTCATGAGGTCATACCAGTTATGCCAGATATCATTGTGAATGTTGAGCAGTAACGGAAAAATTAATTAAATACTACTGTAGGTACACCCTACACGTTTGTGAAAACTTGAGCGTTAAACATCTCTTGTTCTGCTTTGGCACAAAGTAGAATTGTACACGACAAATTCACATTTAATAATGGCGATGGTATTCCATCGCCACTCTATATTCCCCCAACTTCTGTATCATTTTGACGCCATATTAGAGAAATCTTTACATTGTACGATTATGGGAGATAGACGCGCTTTGTGAATGGTGACATGTGACAGAGTGCGTGTTTAATTCTGAAATGACTTGCCAGGCTTCCCGGCATGAAGAGGACGGATATCACGGAAGCAAGTACAACAAAAGAATTGCTGGAACGTTACGTCTTCCTTGCTGAGCGGATCTCATACGATGAAAATGTCACACGGAGAAGCTATTCTAAGCAGCGACGTTGCGGGGATAGCATTTACTAAACAGTTTTTAAAGAACAATTTTTTTTTAGAAAAGTTTCACATAGTCTGTCGTTATAACAAATACATATATATTATATGATTGATTGCACTGATGTCGAATTGACCTGGGTCAGATCAACAATTGATCCTCTGTGTTAACAGCTTTATTTGAAAGTTGTTTTTAATATGGAGAGTGAAAACATTCTGTGTGTTTTATTTGTAATAATAACAAATGAGACACGTCATTGATGTATACATTATCGATTTGTCTAATATAAAATAATACACTGCTTTGTATTCTACTACTAAAACAGGTCGATTACAGAGCAGCGCATCGAAATATCATCGAAACGCCCACACTAAATGGAACCTCGGACTAGTGAGCAGAAGTGTGAGACATACTAAGCACACATACACTTGAACAGTTAACCAGTTAAAGGCGCCCGATTTACGAAGCTTGGAGTTTATTGTTTAGCATTCAATAAAACATGCTTTTTATAAAGTTTTTTTTTAAAAAAATGGGTGAATTGTTAATAGCTTACTACAGGAATTAAAGGTGAAAGTCACAGTTGGACTACTACTACGACTACTTGGCCAATCATAATTGTGGATCAATATTGAAATAAAACCCTGCAAGTTCAAGTGGCGGAAAGGAAGGAGTTAACTGAGATGACTATAGCACAACCATTATTAATGTAAGTTGTCAAACGTCTATAAAAGTAAGAGGAGACCCTAATTTCCGACAAGAGCTTAATGCTTATATTCTTATGAAAGCTACTGGCTTTTGCAACTGACAGTGATATTACCATGGAGACACTCTTTGATGAGGAAATGACATATGATTAGCCAGTAGTATTTGTTATTGTTAAATTTGGCCTAAGCAAAGAGAGAAATTAACGAACATATGTTTCATTCACACCCTTTAGGTAGGTCGCTGCTGAACCCAAGCGGTACCATTGATCCTTATACTGACAAAACTAATTAACTAAAAACACTTCAACACTATTTCATTAACAAACTGTAAATAATTCAAAACATTTTAACACCAATTTCATTTGCCAAAGGCAAAAACAAAACAAAACAATGGCAATCATAATCTACAGTAAATTCGCGTTAATCCATACGTGTTGGAATACCGTAAAGACGCGACGTGTTTTTTTTTTCATTAGAGGGGTCATTGTACCGACCCAAAATTCTGCATCAAAATATTTTCTCGTTTAGAATTAGTTTTCTGTTGTCATGTAAACGAACACCGAGCAACAAACACGTTATTCAGTCACACATGTTTCTGCAATTGAAGCTGCGAATTGCATTGTGAGAATATGGCATCCTAAAACCTACTGCTTCATTTAGTCGGATATGCTAAATTATCTCGTCAATCAATAATATTAAAAGAAGCATGCAATTCTAATTCCCATTCATTTTACAGTAATTGAAATTGCCATTGATACGCATTTGTGTGCTGATTGAGGTCGTCATATCCAGATACTCAGTTATGCTCCGGTAAAATCAGTACACAAGACAGATATATTCTTTGCGATTTTTTAAAGACAGCCTCACCTTGCGTCACTTAATAATAACAATAGACAACATGTTCTTGATATTGTTGTTGTTGCTATTCTGGTCAATCAGACTCCGTTGAACACATCTGATAGACTTTAACACATTCACACACATTTTATGTATACCTTGTTTTTAATAATTGTAGACTATATTTAGATTTAGTCTTCTATATTCAATGACGTTATATATATATATATGTATATATATATTATGTAACTCAATTAACAATTAATATAACTCTTGAGTATAATATAATATAACAACATGTTCATGATAGACACTTCACAAAACGAAAGTAACTATCGTTGCGTAATTACAGCAATAAAATGTTTTATTACTCATTAGTAAACCTCGTTACACAAACATGTAATGATTGCCATTG